TCGAATAAAGTCACAGTATAGCGTGTCGAATAAAGTCACAGTATAGCATGTCGAATAAAGTCATAGTATAGCATGTTGAATAAAGTCATAGTATAGCATGTTGAATAAAGTCATAGTATAGCGGGTCGAAAAAAGTAATTTCTTGTACCATTATTTGTAAATAAGATTTTTTTTTTGCAGTCATTAAAATGCAGTCCAAAAACAGGTACATCTACAGTGCTTTTAATACAGATACATAAATCATGAGGTCAGACAATCACAGAACAACTCAACAATGAAATGACAAAAAAAATGAAAGGGATGAGAAGGCTCATACTGGAGAGAAACTTCAGAAATCAAATATGACTGACAAGAGTTGAACATTAAGTGCATTCAAAATGCAAGAATAGATACACACGAGGACCATTGTGTGGTGTACTCTATACTGGCATTTTAACACACTTCTCTTCTTCAATGCATGTTTGCGTTGGCATCTTGATCATAAACAATGATGCGCCACCAGATGCATCACTCAGTTTACCAAACCAGCACCAAACAACAATACTTTCAGTTCCCAGTATCCAGGAAGGTTATGGATTGTAGATTACACATAGTAAGATAACAAATCTCACAGTGAAGAGTTTTAAATCTCCACAACAGCAGCATTCAGAGTCACAGCCAGTAGAACTTGTCAAAACTCTTTTGTATCACACAATCCATGTTAAACTTCCCTCTCAATGCTTTCATGGTATTTCAGCCCTTTATTCTTCCGTTATTACTGTTCAAACTGGCCGAGTTGAGCGACCCTGTGCTTCTGTATGTGTAATGACCTCAGACTGAGTCTCCAGGAAGGACGACAAGTCATCCATCCCTCTTCCTTACTGCTGTATAGAGTCCAAATTATCTTTGATTCTTCGGGTCATGCTGGGGATCAGGTTTATGTGGTCGTCCACACAACTTCCCACACAGCCGTCCATCAGTGATCGAACAGCTGGCTCTTTGGCGCCGGAGTCAAAAAGATCCTTCGCCTTGTCATTGCAGTGCATCGTGCATCTGGTCAGACGGTCCTGATGGGGCAAAGAGGAGAGACTGTTTAGACCTGATAAAAACAGACAAGCTAGAAGTCCCAGTAGACATGTTTAGGAGTTGCAAGCATTTAGCCTCAAGCTGAACCAGAACACTTCAAATGTCAAAATCTTGTCCCGTTGCCTTTAGATTCTACCGGTAAATGTAAAATCTGTCATAAAAAGTAAAAAAAAATAAAAAGTATACTGTAGTACATCATGAAAAGTTATAGTATTTAATAAAAAAAGATATAGTATAGTTTGTCATAAAAGAGGTCATAAATAAAAAAAGTAAAAAATTGAGAAAAAAAATCTTAGTATAGTATGTCATAAAGTCAGAGTACAGTATGTCATAAAACAGTCATAAACACATTTATATTATAGTAAAAGTATAAGTCAGAAAAAGTCATGAACAATGTCGCAAATAAAAAAATCTACGTATGTACGGAAAAATTTGAAAAATCGAATTGCAATTATTTTGACTGATATTGCAATAGCGATATGATTTGCAGTATTAAAGGAGATTATCATATTCACATCACTATTCTCCTTTTAGTTGAAAACCATATTAAAATGATTATGGTGTGATTTTTGCTTGCTAAAATACTATATGTGCTGATAAGATGCAACCCATTACATAATTCATAAAAAAAAGTTCCTGTACAAATATCACGATGCCCTCATCAACCCATTCTTTGTCTGAAAATGTCAAAAATAAAGTTGAAAAACAACAACCTAGAATTATCGCCTTGCGTTTGGATGCCTCTGCCAACCAGTCAAGTTGCAGTTTACATCCACATCTGTCCAAAATGTCATTACTTCATTATTTTATCACATTAGACATTTGAGAGAAATTGTCATAACTACCATATGAATACTTGAATTATGGCCGAAAATGATGTTTGACAACCAAATTCCAATCAGTTCATCCTTGAGTCCAAGTGGACATTTATGCCAAAAGAAATTCCCTCCAGACTTTCCTGTGATATCACGTTCATAAGAATGGGACAGATGTTAATAGAAGTCTCTGCTTATGAAAGATTTTCATACAGGATATGTGCCAGGACACCTTTTTTTTTTTTTCAAGAGGGGCTTCTTTTTATTTTTATAAACACATAAGTGAAAGGATGAGGTGAGTTATCTGACATTTTCTTTGGAATTGCAGTACTAATGTCATAAAAAAAAAAATACTTGAGTGCAAGTAAAAACTCCATTAGAAATATCAGACTGATGTATAACCTTGTCATCGAGAGCATGGAACAGCTGTTACATGTGGCCTGACTGAGGACTTTAACAAACATCCATTATTGAAAAGGCCACTCAGTCAAATGTCCCCTCACCTGAAACTTCTCCAGCTCTGAAGTGACCTGGCCCTGAGCTTGGGCCATCGGAGTGTGACACCTCTCGATGCACCGATGCACCACAGACATGGAGTCCGTGGAACGATCACAGCAGTCTGCACTGCACTTGAACATGCGACCCTGCAGCGAGAACACACGAACACGAACACGAACACACACACACACACACACACACACACACACACACACACACACACACACATATATATATATATATATTATGGATACAGGTGCTGCACAGATCGGTGTGGTAGAAAAACAAAGCACCACATGCACAGATCATGTTTCCAAGGATAGAAAAAAACCTGCCTGCATTACACGGATGTGGTCCCTCTCCAGGCTTTGGACCATTTCTTCCACCGCAACATGCACGCGTGCCTGATGTGCCTCTGCCATCTCAGTTCGTTCTGCTCACACCACTAATATTTAAAGTTTAGTATCTAAACCAGACTAGACTGCCCCGACGTATCCGTGATGTCCACAGCAAGTTCCTTTACTTTACAATTTGATAACTAAGGTCACCTCCATTCAAGCATGGTTCAGGATCAGTAGACTTCCGCCACTTCCGCTTTACTTCCGCAACAGAATCCTCTTCGGTTTTTTTTTTCTTCTTCAAAATTGGGTTCCAGTAAATTCCTGATTTTGGATGGGCAGGGTTGCAGACTGACGTTCTCGGAAATGAACGGGTCTTTATATTTTTCGTGAGAAATTACAAGAAAAATGACAACTTCCGCTCAGCTCCTTTAAACCTCCACGACCGTTTTCATAGGTCAGTGAAAAGTACATTATCCTTCCTAACTCGACTTTAATTGTGCTTAACTACTGTTTGTAGTCTATTTACATTTATTTTAAATGAGCATATATATATATACATACATTCACACACATAACCCTCACATACACACATATATATCCATATACATGTATACATCATATCTTTTGAAAGGTTAATTATAATATGATCGCCAATGAGGCTCAAATCAATTGCCATAGTTTAAAACTTTACACATGCATTCAGTTGTTATCTCAAATTAAGATTTTACGGCCTTTATTGTGAAAATCACGCGTAAGCATACCCGGAAGTGTGTCTCGTTATTAAGAGACGTTCACGGCGCTCCGACCTGCTGCACCAGTTAATCAAGTTAAGTTAGTTGCTGACACTTCTCGTTTTAGTGGCTGATATCACCAGTTCAGTTTAAGTTTAAGTTTTACCGGACGTTGACTATTATTTGACAGTGTATCGAAGATAACGCTGTGAAGGCAACTTCTCGAAAAACAACTGTATTTTTGAAATAGTGAGTCCTCACCGTTCAACGCGTTCTCTTTATAAAGTTTCTAAGTATTTGACATACGATACTACTTCCTTTTTTGATCTATGCGTGAGTCTGAACTCCTGTGAGAGTAACCTTTGACCGAGACTGAAAAAGACTGTTGCCTTCGAGTAATTAGCGGAACTCGGACTGTATATAATAAGAGTCTATGCGGAACTCACCATGTTTGTGCCTCCTGTACAGATGCTGTGCGGTGCAGCAGAGAACTAGACGCGCACCATGAATCCACGAACTCTGTCACTGAGAGCCCTGCTGTTTCTGGGGCTCTGGCACGCTGGGAGAAGAAGTCTAGCCTCAGCACCAGAGCTGCAAGATCAGCCCAAAAAGATAGGTGAGTCTGTCCTAAGGTGCAAAACAAAAACACACCAATCCTCCTTTCTATCAATACTTCATAATAATAATATATTACTGTGCGAGAAACCTCACTGTGACCTTACCCAGAATACAGTTGCAAAGACGCATGCCAGTCAATAATCATATTAGTTGCAACTGTAGTACATAATTTAAAAAAGGCATCTCAAGAGACTACTGAATGCAAGATGTTTATTTTAGGTACCTCATATGGAATAAAACTTTATCATAATCAAATTAAACTGAAGGATGTTCCGCCTACAAATGTGCATGTGGAGCGACAGCAGTAGAACCAGTTTTAATATCACCAATGTGTTTAACCGTGTTGTCGTTGCTGCTTTGAAGCCGTGGTCGGAGCGGGCATCGGAGGCACATCTGCAGCATTTTACCTGAGGCAGGAATTTGGAGCCGGGGTGAAGATCGATGTGTTTGAACCAGGTGATGTTGGCGGACGACTCACGACAGTGAAGATCGGAGATCACGAGTACGAGATGGGAGGCGCAGTGATCCACCCTCTGAACCTACACATGAAGCACTTCATTGAAAAATTAGGTAACGTATTGTCACAAAAACAGAATCACAAAAGTATAAAGCAACTAAAACCCTCTTACTATATGTTTTTCTTTTTAGGTATTCCTCCGAGGACAGATGTCCCCACTAAAATGGCAATATTTGATGGAAAGGAGCTGACGTTTGAAGAGAGCGACTGGTTTATAGTTAATTTCTTGCGTATGCTCTGGAGATTTGGGTTCAGCTTTATCAGAATGCATATGTGGGTGGAGAGTGTTTTGGACAAATTCATGCGGTGAGGAGGAAAAGCATTTGTCGTGGCTCCTAAATGTCACTCTTTTTGTTGCATAAGATCCAGTATTATCAACATAGATGGTCATGTGAAACCTCTTTTTTTTTTTTGACACACAGGATCTACCAGTATCAGCAGTACGGTTACTCGTTCTCCAGTGTGGAAAAGCTCCTTCATGCCATGGGCGGCGATGCTTTTCTTACCATGCTGAATCAGACCCTGGAGGAAACAATGATGGGCGAAGGATTCTCCCAAGTCTTCCTCAACGATATTGTCGCACCCATCGCTCGTGTCAACTACGGCCAAAGCGTCCGCATCAATGGATTCGTGGGTATGTGTGTCAAGAGTTTGGATTGGTTCATGAACACAAAGGTTTTTGTTGAACACGCTGTAAAACAGAGGTAACATTTACCGTCTGCCTCGTCTCCTATAGGGGCCGTGTCATTAGCCGGAGCGGATCCAGGCTTGTGGGCAGTAGATGGAGGCAACAAGAGAGTGTGCTCAGGACTGCTGTACAACAGCAAAAGTGAGCTCATCGCTGCCAGAGTGACCTCCATTTCGTTCAAAGTTCGACCATCCAAGACAGGTGCCTTTTGACATTCCTTCATTTGGTAAAGAACTGGCCACTGATGGATTTTTCTCATGTCCATTTTTAATGTCAAATATTTCATCTCAACTCTCTGTCTCCCGTTTTTTTTAGGCAACACAGCCAGTTTCTATGAGGTCAGTTATGTGGGAGAGTCGGGCTCAGCACACTCTCTGTATGACATAGTGGTGATAGCAACACCGCTTCACCAGGGAAAGTCTGACATCGCCTTCTCAGGATTCTCTCCCCCAATCCCGTCCCACTATCCCGGACGTTACCACCAGACTGTCTCCACTCTGGTCCACGGCATGCTGAACGTGTCCTACTTGGGCACCACACAGCCGGCCTCGGAGTTTACCGTGTCTGACATCCTCACCAAAGACTCAAAGGACTCCGTCATCAACAGCCTGGGCTCTATTGACCCTGTGCACATCCCTCAGGGTTACAAGCGACCCCCTGCCAGCCAGACCAAAGTGTGGAAGGTGTTCTCCCCACAGCCGCTGTCCCAGGAGCAGCTGCGGGGCATGTTCCTCTCCTGGGATTCGGTGTCGGAGACTCAGTGGCTGGCTTATCCTTCTTACAGCCCACCGCACCGCAATACACCTCCCTTCATCCTGCACAACAGGCTGTACTACCTCAATGCTGTGGAGTGGGCGGCCAGTGCCATGGAGATGAGCTCTATCTCTGCCAGGAACGTGGCCCTGCTGGCACACCACCGCTGGCACCAACAGGTCGGCAACATCGACCAGGAGGACCTGCACACCCGACTAAGAGGGGAACTCTGAAGAGAGAAGAAAAGTAAAAGCAACACAATCAATCAAGCACAGTATTGATCCACACAGATACTCGTGGACAAGCCTGGTGCACGATAACCAACACTCCTGTCAGGGCAAATCCAAACTCTTATTCAGGTATCTGGAGTGCTCTGACCACTTTAAACTCCACACAATTACGGTTTATTACAACTTTTCTCTTATTGTCGTAGTGGTGGCCATTATTTCCTTATAGAAATGTTGCCCACAACCAAGAAACAAATTGGAATGACCCTTTAATCGCCCTAACGGCAGCCACAGGTCATCATTCACCAGCAACAATAGAAGAAATCACACTAAAAGATGGTTCAACATTGCACTGTGCTGAATTTTGTAATCACTGTGAACACCGCTGCACTACAGGTTAGACACATACTTTTAAGTGTTGCTCTGTCTACATGTGTTTGTTTTTTAATGTGCCCAGATGTTGTTATGAAGGAGGTACAGCTCACATCTAGCCACATTATCCAAGATGACCTTTTATTGATTTACTTGTGCCACTAAGATGTTGTCTTTCTAAATGATATGTTATTGATGTCAGTTAAGTATTAACAAGTCCGTGTCTTCTCCTCCTATTTAATTGTACTGATCATTTATAAGTCTTTAATTGGACAGTCTAATTACACTGAAGAACTGTAGGAATTCAAATTCTTAAAACTATAAAGGTGCCTTAAAGATATCAGACTAATTGGCTTAAGTCTCCCGATAATTTTAGAAATCATTTGTCTTTCGGGTTTTCGTGTGTCATTTTTAATGAAGTGAAAGCTGCCATCAGAGTCGGGCCACGAGGACCAGACTCTGTGTTTTGTTGTAACATGTAAAGTGGCTTATCAGATGTTGTGTGGCTTCAAAACCTACAGTATCTGAATCTCTTTCATGTTTTTTTTTTTTTTTTAGCCACTTTGGGAAGAAAATTGTAGTTTGCTAATAGTTTCTTAAGCACTTTGAAAGGTGTATTTTTCTAGATTTTTGAAAGAAGTTTCCTGTTTGTGAGTATATGTCAAGACGCACTGTTCCAAAAAAAATGAATAGCGGCATTTAATTGACAGAAAAGTTTCACTTTTACACTTAATGCTTTTGGCAAATGCCAGAAAAACTGTCTTCCTCTGCACAAATACAATGAGGCAAATCTAAAGGTTTGATTTCAGATTTTAAACAACACTGAAACCTTCCAGTCCAACCAGTTTTACAAGTGTTTACGATCACAATAAAGTTATGAAACCTTGTCTGCTTTGTACTCTTACTTGACATTTTACTACAAAGCCATATCGGGTATTTATTAAAAGCCGGTTTAAATTACGCTTGAATCACTTCTCAACACACTCGTTCTGCACTTTTCATGACAGATCGAGGTCTGAGGTGAAAACATTTAATAGCTGCGTCAGTTTGCATCCTTGCTTGTGACCCGTCATTCACAAGCCAAGGTTGTGTGGTGAAATCACCATTACCAGTCCCAACAGGAAATGAACATTGTTTTCAGCTCAGATGCAAGGACTCCCATTTGTATCAAACAGACACAACTAACACCCCCCCCCCCCCCCCCCCCCCCAAATAAAGGCCCGTGTGACTGAAAAGCCAACAATGGGTGGCATTGACAGCCTGAATAAGGATACGTCTGTGTGGTGATGTGCCACCCAGCTGTCCTCTCAGGTAGGGAGGGACAATGGTACCAGAGCCGCCTGTCCATGCAAAACATGTGATGCGACTGAAGATATAAGAGGCTGTAAACTGACAACAACCCAAAATCTTCCAGTACCCAGAACACCAGCCAAGATGAGATTTCTAGTGCCACTGTGTGTTTTCCTCGCTGTCGCAGCGCTTCACTCTGGTAAGAAGAAGAAATAGTTATCATTTCATTTTTAAGATTTAGAATATGACTACAATTTTTAAACAGGTTGATGGAGACTGAGAGACAACATTTTTGTCTTTTAATTGTTTTTATTATTGTTTGTTATAATAACGTGTGCAACTTAGCCGTTCAGTTATGTGTTTATTTGAAGCCTGACTGATGTACTTGTGACTATTCAAAGCTCTCTCAGCATCTCTGGAATCTGCAGAGAAAGAGGAAGTAGTTGCTCAGCACGGTGAGGGATTATATATTAATAATTGGTTATTAATAATTATGTAAGGCGATGAGACTGGCATGTCTTAAAATGTATCTAAATGTGTTTTTTCATGCAGATGGGCTAACTGAACTGCAGAAAATAGGTACGGTGCATTGGTCCAATTGAGAACCAGCCGAGTGTGAAACTGATGCTTTATGTGTTTGTTCACCTGGCAGCAAGAGCAGAAGTCTTTTTCATCTGCTTTGTAATGACACAAGTAGACTATTTGTTAAAGCCACCCACCAGACACTTTATTTTTTCAATTTAATTCATGTTAAATCTGTAACACTACATTTCTTCATTTTTAATATATTTGGCTCTTGTTTTGCATCACTGTATCACTCCGTCTCCTCAGATCAGATGGAGTTTGAGGCCGCTCAAAAGAACGAGACCGCTCAGATGAATGGTAGGTTTGACCAAAGTCCAAAGCAATGACCATAACCCAAAACGACGTGACCTCAATAATCTGTTTTTGTTTACCCCCCACTGTGAAGTTACAGAGAAACAGAATGAGGAAACCCGCTACCTTGGTAAGAGGAATTATGAGCTTTAACCACATTCACAATGAATTCAGCTGCACTTTATAATGCAATCTTTCAAAATATGTTACATACAGAAGCTGTTCAAGAAGGATCCGGTAAGTTATACGTATATGAATAACACCTGAACACATATTGATCGTGTGTTAATGCCACCTGTTGAAATGTTTCCAACAGTAGAGGAGCATGTTGAAGCAGAGGACGACGACACAGGTGTGTAAAACACATCCTGCTGGCTTTAAAAAAAAAAGACAACATTTGATCTTTTTGAGATTGAACATTACATAACTGTGAAATCCTCCTTCAGCAGAGGGAGGCGGTAACTCTGACGCAGCAGCTCATGAAGGTGAGAGGTTTTACTGTTCCAGGTATCAGCCTGTAGATGGTGTTAAAGGACAGACTGGAAAAGGTACACTTACATGTAAAATATCACAACCATGTGACTCTCTCTCTCCCCCACAGAATCCCAGTCTGAGTCCTCTGAGGAAGCAGATGGTGAGTTTGTGACATTAAGGTTTTTTGTGTATGCAGTTTATTTCAGCACATTGAAGATGTAATTTCAGCTTCTGTCATTCTATCAATGACAATGTGTGTCTTTATTATTTTTATAAGGGAGACAGAGGCGGGGTAAGTGATGAAAATCGACTCTACTACACCACAACTTTTTGAATGTTTAGTTGTTGAACGTCTTTTGAAAGAACATTTCGAGATAAACAACAGAAAGTACACAGCAGTTTGGCCTAAGGCCATTTTTAAAGCTTTTTACTGTACATACGATACATTTGAATGTCTCCCTAGAGCACCACGAGGCCCTGCAGACTGTGAGCAGTTTGGGTAAGATCAAGTAAAGCCGCTGACTCACTGCACCGATGAATCCCTCGCCATAACTCCGTGGTTGTAACTCTCCATTTCCTCTGCAGATGGAGTCAGTCATGATACAACCAAGTGGGAACAAGGTGGAGATTTTCAAATTCGACACACTAATAATTTACCTTAAGGCTGAGTGCTATATGTTATTTGTTCACCAATATTATCCAGAGACGACAGTTACTCGTAGTACCTGCTGAGGCAAGATGTGGTGAACTGTTTTGAGTAACACAGGGAAAGTCAAATTGTAGGTTATGCAATGAACAGACTGTGAGCAACAGAGCCATTCTCGGCTCGTTTGAAATAGTGTTGAAAACCGGTTGGGTTCAGAATCAAAATCTGTAAAATGCCTCAAGAGCAATTACAAATTTACAACTTGGCAGCTTGTTAAAACGATTTGTTTAAGAAACAAATGTTCTAGAGAGATATTCAAGTCACCAAGAAGATCGGCTGGCTGCTTGACCTCAAAAATAAGATGCTGGGGTTGTTTATTTGAGCACAGTCCTCCTTGTATGCGAGTAAATCTAGGACAAGAATCCAGGACACTGAGGAGTCTGTCCCCAGGTAGTTATTGTGCTTTATTTATACTGTATCGTCTGCTTCTGGTTATTTTTGGACCAAGGATGCACCATCCCTGCCCTGAAAGATGCCAGAAGGCTCGTTTTCAAATTGATAAAATGCTTCTGCCTCAAGGTTACTGAGGCGGTGATAGAAGGTTGTGTTTTATACTCTCCTTGATGAGAAAAGCCAAACGCCTGAGAAGGCAGACCTACATGTACAGGTTTTTTTAGCAGTAAATCCTCATCCTCCGGGGATAGAATAGGCCTCTTTGTGCTTTAACAGCAGTAACATCACACACTGGTGCTGCCGTCATTCATCAGTATGCAGGAGTGAGTGAGTCATATCCGATTCATACATTTTATTCAGAGCCCTGGAAACCTACTGCATTGTGGTGTGTTGGCGATGTAAATCTAGCGTAAAGGAATCCTCTCGTCTGTTCTTGCGTCACAGATGCACTGGAGTGAGACGGCACAGCAGCGCGTGGATCCCAACGCTCACTCCTCTCCCGGTGCCTGAGCTTACTGCCAATAAAGACGGGAACTATTCCACCTATCTGAACATGTCCTCCTTTGTTTCATGTTGTGCCAAAATACTTCTGAACAGAGTTTCAGAACTGCTTTTTGGGATATTTACTTCAATAACACAGCAGTATATTACAATAACCTGTGTTAAAAGTTGCAATACTTTATTATATAAAGAAACTTTTTGTACCATTATAAATTACTAACAAGTTCAACACCATTATTTTCCCATTTTTTATTTTTTCCATCCACAAGTGTGGACTAGAGTATATTGATGTGCATTTAAAAAAAAAACCAAAAAAACCAAAACACTTTTCTTTGGTACCTAAAGGGAAAATTAAAACAATTAAGGCAACTACAGCAGCTATAGATCCGATATGCATTTAGTACTGCAGCCAAAATGACCACACAGGCAACGTATGGCCACCCTTAGTCAAACAAGAGACTAGATCAGCTTAACACCAAACCACTCGGAACTTCCAGTTTTGGGTTCTTGCTCTCTTTTACAACCTTAAATCGCCTTCAGGATGAGAAAGAGAGAGGATAGCTACAACAACCAAATGTGTAGGCAGGTGCAAATCTCACAGAAAAAGAACATACTGGGAAGTAGCCAATACACGGTGACCTGGAAACAACGCTGGAGAAGGCATTAAGCATTTAACCATCAAAGATGATGCAATCAAGTTTAAACAGGAGACTCGTTTGAGAGCATGTGTTTCTGTTCGTCAACATTCTGGTGGTACATTTCTCAAAATTCAAGTAACTAATAATACCAGGCGAAGAGCGAGAATGTGGAGACTCAGGACATTCTGATGGACTGGATTGCAGGTGTTATCATTTCCTGCCAGAGTGGGCCGACTTCTATGCTCTTGCTACAGTATTTCACATACTCTGCAGGTGGTCATACAGCTGGTACTGACAATTATGCCATAAACACTGCAGGAATGTGATCGAATGTTTAAGTATGTTAGAAAACACCGTCAGCCACCTATCTGAATCAACAGTCCGGTTAAAGTGACTTTACTTATATAACAAGAGAAGGGGAATAGCTAATGTACCACAGTTTAGGAGATACAAGCCAGATTGAAAACATTATTTCATTAATAATTACTTAGAAATGAGGGGGGGGAAAACACGCACATTCAAACCTAAAAATACTGCTTTTGCATCTACGTTACTTTCAGCATGTGTTATGACTTAAGTTACATCGGCAAAAGGCTTACACTGCATCTTGAGTTGTTCACTTCTTTCTAACTTGTAAAACAAAGTTAAAAACAGAACATGGTTGTATTTACATAATTGCAAAGTAAAATAGGAAACTGAAAGAAAATACAAAAATATAAATGAGTTGACGCTTTCAGAATAACTCGTTACAGAATGTTGCGATATGAAAAAGCAAGTCGGAACAAGGAAATGCAAGCTTCCTGCTAGATATCATGTGGCCAGAATGGAACAAACAGCAAATTCTAGGTTGAAAACAATGCAGCCAAGAACCACAGGCCCATAATCACAAGTCCTGTTCAAATATTTCTATTTTTTTCTCCTTTTTCTTCCAAAGTTGTTGGCTCGAGGTAAGCGATATATTCTGGCCTTCCAACTCTTTTCCTTTTCTTTTGGTGCGCACTGAAGCGGTTTCTTTCTCCTCCCCTGGTTGGGGGTGCAGCCCAAGGCTCAAAGGATGCCGTAGATGAAGATAGCCATGATGGCGGCACTGATCAGACCAGAGATGGGCACAGTCACAAACCACGCCAGGAAGATGTTCCTGAAGAGACGCCAGTCTACTGCCTTCTTTGAGCGCAACCATCCGACTGCAACCACAGAGCCCACCTAGAAACAAAGATGGCCGATCAATCCCATCCTCTTACTCTAACACATGACTTCTAATCACCAATTTGCATACCTAAAACATTACTGAGGAGAAAGTTGCTCCACATTTGGATGGTGTCCCAGACTGGGATCCTGTTTACCATAGCCTACTTCACACTAACTAGCCTCTTCCCCCGTGTCTCAGTCTAGCTCCCAGACCACAGGGTTTGACCCGCTTACCTTGCAGTGGGTGGTGGAGACAGGCAGGCCAATGTTAGAGGCTACCACGACAGTCACGGCTGAGGCCAGTTCGATGCTGAAACCACTGCAGGGGAAATAAAAACAACAGTCATGTCTCTCTCCCGTGGTTGTGTGGTTTGCTAAAATTCAAAGTCTGGTCATGTCTGAAGAGGATGTGGTTTGTATAAATAAGGTGGTCTGTGGAGTCTGTACCTTGAGGGGGTGATGGGAGTAAGGTCCTTGCCCATAGTCTGGATCACTCTGCGACCCCAAACCCAGAGTCCAGCGCAGATGCCCACACCGCCGTACAGCAGCAGCCAAATGGGCGTGGGTTCGTTCGAAGTCACACTGCTGGTCGTGTAAACCAGCCACAGAGCTACCAACGGGCCAATGGCATTACTGCAGAGGAAAGGATTACATTTTAACAGATATCAAGGCTCAACTCACAAGTCAGAATCTTTGACGAGTAAAAATGCCATCCATCAGCCTGATGACCAAACATGATGCCGGCTTCATGAAGGACTCTGCATACCTCACGTCATTTCCTCCATGGGCAAAGGATCCAAAGCAGGCGGTGAGAATTTGGAGGAACTGGAAGAGAGTGGACACTTCTGGCTTGTCTGCGTCACGCCTGTCGTCATCATCCAGAGAGCTTTGGCTGCTTCCTGCGTCCTCCTTCGCCATTTCTAGTGTCACGTCACCCTCTCCCAGAGCCTCGGGAGTCGTGTGCTCTGCCACAGCGTTGCAGTAGCTGGTGTAACTGTCCATACGCACGCGCTTCCTTTCCTGACCCGCTGCCCCCGTGCCCTTGTCGCTTTCCTCGTAGGCACGGTACTCCCCTTCTTTATGCTTGAAGTCTCCGTGCATGCCGATGATGGCCATGGTGTAGGAGGTGTAGCTGTTGTTGCGCCGGATTGGTCGGTCCCCCCCCTCGCCCATGCAGTCGCCAACCTTGGCCAGGTGGAGCTTGTGCAGCAGGTCCTTGTAGAGGCCCGAGTCCTTGTGGACTGTGTGGTACTGGCTGTAACCGTTACTGGGAATCTGTGCCGGCCTGTTGTTGAACTGGACCTCATTGTTGAACTGGACCTGATTGGCTGAATTTTGCTGGTTGTTGACCTGACTGTCTGATTGGACCTGTTTAGGAGCTGCAGAAATTGGTAAAAACAAACAAACAAACCTTTAAGTCTTATGTTGTATCAACTTCATGCATCTCATACCATTAGGCTGCATTATTTTAATTACATGTAAATATTGCTGGCACACTTACCACCATTTGCATTGCTGTAGTCCGAGTCATCAGAATCTCCGATGTCAAACGCCACCCTACGTTCCTTATTATTGTCAACATCGTCACAATCTCCAATGTCAAATGCCACCCGGCGCTCCTCCGGGGCAGCCTGGGACTGCTCAGAGGGGCTTTGATTGACAGCTGGGGCGGGAGGCGTCGACGTCTCCTTGGCGGCCTGTTTCAGGATTGGACAGTGGGCCTCTCTCAGCTCCCTCTTCTCCATCAGGGGGCTCTCCGATGGGCTGGCAGACTTGATATCTCCTAGTAGGGGAGGAGTTGGGAGTGAAGATATCGATTGGGTCGTGTCCAAACATGCAGTGTACAAGCAGAGAAATACCAGCACAGCACGTGTTCCCTCTCAACCAGAGCTATAGGGAGTCACGAGAATGACATAACCATAAACACCGCTGTCCTATAAATGAAACATTACTGTGTTCACAAGATCGATAAATGGATTATGACCTTACATGGAACATATTTACACTACCGCCAGCAGCTTAACTTATGAAAGGCACAGCCTGAGGCTCACGTAACTTTTGTTTGTGGATTTAAAGTGAATCAGATACTTAGTGCCAATATTTTCTATGCGGTAATCCTAGGAGTATCCTGAGCAGTTGGCCACATTACATCATCCAAACTAAACTGGTCATGGCCAGACATGAAGCATTCAGTCACCCTCAGCACTCTACCCACACATGTAGCGCAAATGCCACGTCAACGCTTTAAGTCAAGCTAGGCTTATTTCAGTCAATGAGCTAAAGACCAATTAGTGGAACACTACGACCCAATTTGGCTGCTATTCTACAGGATGAAGGCCGATGCAGACTAATGGTGCTTGGCCAGAAAAAGCTGCTGTTTCTCTGTTACTTGACAGGTACGGTCAATATCACAAATATTTTAAGATCGGCCCATGTGACAGTTTTATCAACATTACTACAAGTAAAGAAAACTAACTTTTTTGAATGTATACTCTTTGTAAATGGTATTAATGAGAACAAACAGCTATTCTGTGATTGTTAACGCCGTAACAAAGAAGGCAAGATGTGACCTGTTGTAGGGACAACTGAATACAAAGCATTGTATTGTTAACAATTGAGGGAACCACTAAACATTCATGAAGGTTAGAATGAATGGTGTTGCCCTGGCTCACTAGAAACTACACTATTGGCACGTTAATGCAGATGGGGTTTTACTTTAATCCAGGATTATAGAAACAAAAACTGGTGACAATAATTTCAGATGATTTTCATTAGAGCGACTCTATTATGACAAAATATCCCTGAGCTCCATTTGCTGGATTAAATGAGACCTCAGTGTGAATAGTTCCCCGCGAAATCCCCGCGTCCAAAGGCGGTGAGGAAAACCATAAATTCAGCGGTCAGCAGAAACTGGTGACAGGTATTTGAAAACTGAATCATCAGGTGACCAAAAAATAAAAATGAAAAACATGAATGTGACTTACGTTCAATCTTCTTCTTGAGGTGAGGGCAGACAATAAACCAGACCACCAGGGCGGTCAGCACAGAGAAGCCCAATGAGATGAGCAGGGTGCCCCACCAAGGGATGTTGTCAAATCCGAGCACTGAAGGAACGCCAGGTGCCCCGGACAGAACCACACACACACACACACACACAAGAATAGAGAAAAGGCAGGTTTAACAAACAAGGCAGCCGGTGCTACCTTTCTTGGTGGACACTAGAAAAAGTTGACTGAAATAGCAAACTTAAAAACTATGTAAATATAAAATTTGCGTAAGTCAACATGAGGTCAGGTTTGGAGGAACTTGTGTTCTTATATATTAAAACATAGATGGCACCAATGGATGAAAGTCAACTACAGAAGCAAAGACTTCAATAACATCTGGGCTCTATTGGTAAGAGTACGACTGCATTGCCACATCCTAGTTAAACATGGAAAGCCTGTGCACCCCTAGATGTGAACAGTTCCACAACACCGAAATGAGTGAAAGAGCAAAAAGATGTGACCATGACCCTAAAATGCCCTGCGGGCACACTGCAATGAGTTCCTTAAAAGGCGACGTTAAATAAAAGGAGAAAAGAAAGAGGGGGGGGTCCTTCACTGTAGCAATAAGGACACGCTCTTGCCAAGACTGCAGCAAAGCAGGTGCAGCAGAGCTACAGTTAATGCAGCACATGCCAGCAGAAAGAAACTATTCACATTCCCCCAGGGAAGCAGTTGTCTTTGTCATACCAACAAGGATGCAAGTTAGCAGTGTGGTGAGGAGGAAAAACAAAAACTAGAGCTGCGGAAAATTCCAACAACACCACTTTGGATGAGGTGACCTTGGCTATGCATAATAAAAATTTAAAAAACCACCACCACCACTAGGTCAAGGACTGCATTTAAGATAAACAGAAGAGCCGATGCTAAGTGATAAGAGTCGGCGTGTTGATGCGAGTTTACAGCGCACTCTTTCAACTGAGTCACGCTGCAGCATGAGACTGCAGAGCACCGAACTGATGTTTATTTAGTTACGCAATGGAAGCTAACTCCCGGCAGGACAAGTGAGGAGGCTCTGTAACAGCTGTGGCTCCCGTCTTTCTCCGGGGTGCATCGGCTCACACATGTGGTGGGACACCCAGTAACAGGTGGGATCCAGCTCCACAGTACCGGGCTGTGGCACCACCAGGAATTCAACGAAATACGGGACAAAAAAAAACAAAAAACCAACAACCCTGCAACTGACAAAGGGGGCCTGATGCAAGTCACATGAATACTCTTTTGTAGGAAACTTCTTACAAAATATAAAAGAAAGGCTTTAAAAAGCCAGCCTAGGTCTGATAAACACTCCCACACAAAGGGGTGAGCTTATACCACAGCCATGCAGTGGGATGAATGGGACTGCACAGGAAATGGACTTCAACCACAGCTGCGTTCCAAACCCCTCCCTTAAACCTCTGTATCCCAGTGCCTACATTACACAATAACATAGTTTGTTGTTGTTTTTTCCACTACCGTATGTGCATCTCACCACCAACCTAAATTGCAATGGCTTAAAGTGGCAGTTTATGACTCACTTGGCAAGGAACCGTCGGGCATTTCTCCTCACTTTTGTCTAGAACTAGGTGTAGCACTTAGCAAGAGCATTATGATCACCTGACAGCTGCATTAAGTCTCAGCACTGAAAGGATCTGTTAGCCCAACGTGCACTCTTGACAATAAGTATCTATCCATGATAGTAGCAGCCCCTGAAGCACCGTGGCTCGGGTTTAAATAAGTCACGTATACTAAAATGTGTGCATCAGTTTTAGGTTGCTGTTTGCTTTGTGTCCCCAGAGCAACCGACACTACTAGGTGTTTGTTTTTCAGAGGGTAACCCAGGCAGAAAATTTGTATCCAGCTAAACGCATTGAAGCTCATCAATTGAGGCTGATGTGGAGGGACATACACTGGTATGCAATACAAACTGTTTAGACCCAGCATATGAAGCAGGCTTTTGTCTGAAGGCCAACAACATGGACAGGATTCAGGGATAAACATCAGCTGATGTAGTAAAAACCATAAACAGTTACTAGTTTCTCTAAAAGGATTCTAAAGTGATTTCATACCGACTCAGAAAGCACCATGTCTTCATATTCATGTGACAACATCTTAAGGGAATAAGAATCATATCCTAAGTATGTTTGTATGGTAGATTTATCATTTTTCAATTGCAGTGGAGTGACAGCACATGAGATATACACGGTGTGAAGAACCCAAGTCACGCTAAGCTTCATCTGTAAAGGATCGACAGCTGACCCTCAGATTCTTTGGCCCAAATTGCGTGCGTGTGTTGTGTGCCAGTGTAGCACACCATCCATAACGTGGCCTGAAATAAACATGGGACGTCTGGCGTTGGATAATAAAGTGGCTCCATTGTGGTCTCCTGGGGCTTTGACATCGAGATGTGAGTGGTGACCAGTTTAAGAGGACGACTGGGTTTGTTAAGGTGTCTGAAATGCAATCTCGCACCTTTGTTTTTTATGTGAGGTACCCAAGTACAGGTCCTCGTGTACAGTGTGAAGGACTTCACACAGCTGTACAGAATGAGCCTGACTAGGCCGGGTTAAGGGCTATGCTGGAACTGCGAGTGCTCTCCTCTCTGTGAGTGCGCTGCTGCTGATGTGCGCGCACACACCAGCCCACAATATCTGGTCAAACTCTGGCCTGTAGTGCCATTTAACGGCCCAGGCCAGCTAACATCTTGAACTTTTAGGCCCTGCAGAGAGAAGAAAACAAAAAGGAGCAAAAGTTGCTCATTTAATGAAGAGATTCTGGAAGATGAAAAGCCAACAAATATTTAGAGCATTACTAGACTAAATCTGTGGACAACTATGACAGTTTCCAACAATGTCTTTACTTCTCTTTTCCTCCTGAAGGGCAGACAGTGACGTCAAGTTAAGTGAAATTTTATTTCCATCTCCCTGATGGGCACCGCTCTAAAACCTCATTCCAGCTATGACCCACATAGAACCACAAGCACGAGAGCGCCAAAAAACATGTTAAAATAAACACAGCTTCTGTAAAAAAAAAGGGTAAACAGTCTGGTTCAGTCTGGAGTACGTGTGGGCATCCGGCTGTCTGAGGGAGCAGTTTCTTTTAGGCTGTGGGCAGGCATGCAAAGCAAAGCGACTGAAACAATGATACTCACTCGGAGCGCCAGTGTACATGATGGAGAACAGGTTGATTCCCATGGTCACAGCGTAGAACACAGGCAGCGCCCTCAATCCATTCGGTACCGGGTCTTTCTGCAGGACAAAACAAGGCACGAGGTATGAACAGAGATTCTACAGTCAGGTTACAGTCATTTGATTACAGCTGTTTGATGTGGATAAGGAACAGATTCAGAGGACAGTAGCTTCATTCTCACCATGTAACAAACATTTCATTTTGGCAGCGTACTAGGGCAGTGTTGAAACAGACCTAAAACGTATCACCCCGGAAGGTTCGAGTCTCACTTACAAAAACGCATACCATCACAATCTGATAAAAGACAGCTTACCTTGCGTAAGATGAACATACGCACAAAGTAGAAAACAACGGCAGACATTATTCCCGACAAAAGAGGACTCAGGAACCAGGAAGCAACTGCAAATTATAAAAAATATGAGCAATATAAAAGAAAGGTAATATCTGACAATCCTTTCACAAAAACAACAAAAAACACACACCCTTATACACTCCCTTGACAATTCGAGGAGATATCATCTCAGCTTTTGTGTGTCAGGTCATGCCAGTTTCAACTATTGAGCAAACCATAATGCTTTCCCTGATAAAGGAGACGTTCTTTTGCTATTTTGACACCACAGCTACCTGTCCCATGGACCAGCACGGTGGGTTGTTTTATACTTCTGTCAGCCAATCAGCAAGAGTTCTTGTTGTGCCCTCAGTATAAACATTTCAAGCCCTTTCCATGACTGAAAAACATTAAAATGGTATTATTTCAGATTCTGTTTTTCAAAAAATGGGAAGTCTGGTTTACATCAGGTTGGGCCTTTCCACAATGCAACATAGACCTGAAATCTACAATATAATGCAACAGCGTGTGAATTTAGTTCCGCCACTGTATTTTCCTGTAACGCATCGAGTAAAATTGCCCCATGTTCTCTGATGTGCATTGAGCTCATGGATAGTAGATAGTCCATTGGAGACTACTGGAATCACTATTGATTTATATACAAAATACTCATAATTAAAGTTTAAGTTTTGAAACACAGTTCATATTTTAGGTGTTGTGAATTGAGCTCTGAATCGGCAACAGAAATTCATAAAATTCTAACATCTGACTGTTGACCCCAGCATTGAAGCTCCTCAACACAGACAAAACTGGCTGATGAATTATCATAAGACTGCATTACCAATCACACCCTGTCATTACATTAATATAGTCTATGATCTATATGAGCAAAACACTGAGGACATTTCTAGGTCAGCTGATTAAGAGTGCGTGACTTACCGATACGGAGGAGTTCAAACCACTTGACTCCCTGCTGACCTCTGGCAACCAGCGAGAAGCCTATAGTAGCACCAACAATGCAGTGTGTTCCAGAGATGGGGAGCTTAAGGAAGGAGGCGGCCAGCTGCCACACAGCAGAACCTAATGAGAATAAATTAAGTGATCACATTAGGCATTTCATCTTGGGTCTGACAATTTCTATTCACAGGGTTCAACGGCCGTAGGTGTAACGATGTGTTGCAGGTACTCACCGAACATGGCGCTGATAGATCCAGCCATCAACACATGCTCGGAGCCGTTGTACATGTTCACATCGATGATGCCCTTCCGGATGGTTTCACTCACTTTGGCCCCAAGGAGCACAGAGCCCACGGTCTCGAAGACTGTGGCCAGAATGCACGCCTGTCGCAAGGTGACGACTCCGGAGCCGACGGCTGTGCCAAACGAGTTGGCGACATCATTGGCACCCACGGAGAAGGCTAGGACGAAGGCGATGATGAAGCCGACAACCAGCAACCACGTATACTCTGTCAGAGCAGTGTGGGTACTGGCCAGCCCCACCGTGGTGACCAGTATTATTGCAGTAGCAGTAGTTGATACCATGATTATAGGCTATAGAGAAATTGCTTCACGATCTTAAAAGTTAATGAATGCCTGTCAAAATAGCTGCCGTTTCTAAACAGCACCTTGTAAAATTAAGAGGTAAATGGTCAAATAAATAATTAACTTCTTTAGAACTGCCTGTATTTAACAGGGTTCTTTGTGCAAATTAATACGTTTAACTGGTACTGACCAGAAAACTAGAGGTAAAGTGTGGGCTTATTGCTATCCTGTAATTAAACTAGATTTTTTGCTGTTTCTTTGGTGCTGAGACATCAAACTGATTGAATAGACTGCCATTGTGCAACTGGAACTGCAGATGAGCAGGGGTACATGCTGAAAAGAGAAAGAGAGACAGAAAAGACCTGCTTTAATAACAGCTTCTTCTCATTCAACCTTCATGTGAAGAGTCACGTGCAGAAAAGACACCGACAACAACGCTAATCAGGGAGGGTGTCAAACCAGCATCTTTATAAACCGAATAAGATAAACAACGCAACAACAGGGAAACAACGTGGAAAACCAGAAACGTTAGTAAACACTTGCAATGGAACAAGGGTCTCTAGTAAATGTCTTTCCTGAAAACCAAACGGGAAGCCATTTTTTGTAAATGTCGCAGGAAGAAACCGGGGTTTATATTACACGAACGTCGTCTAATTGTACCCAGACTTGTTTATACATATATGATTTATTGCTGATCATGACTACCGTTACGAGATAAGGTGCGTCTTATCCATAGTAGACTTTACAATCGTTCATCGTTTCTACGAGTGCACGTGTCGTCATCCATTCATAGAACACAGCCCTGAGCACGCGCGCCATCTGTTCGCACCGCCTCACGGGATCAAACAGAAACCAGACTAACGTTAGTCTTTCATTTAATTATTTGGCTATGTCCGTTTAAATGGCTATTGCGCTTTTAACCACAGTTTCTCTAATATTTGACGTGTTTTTTGTTAAAAGGGGGTGCAACCGGAAGTGACTCAGTGTGAGGAAACACAAGCCCCGACCATAGACTGTGTATAGAACCGACTGACTGGGCGGGCAGGCACCGTTGTGTGGCGTGCCCTTTTTAATAGAGTGTACGATGGACAGATGGAAAGTACCGTAAACGTCAGAAATTAACGTAAAATACTCTTTATTGCGGCGTTGTCCCCCGTTCACCTTGGTTCGAGACAAACGTTACATAGTTGTGGCGTTAATGTTAACGGTAACAGCCATCATCTCTCCTAGGTCAGACAAGATGTTTAACTTAGCAGCTACAATGATGTTAGCTAGGTCTCAACTCTCGCGTACACTTACGTTAGCTACGTTACCTGGCAAACACTCAGATAATTAGTGGCGAATACACAGAACAAAGATTTATTTTTCCGGCTAGCTTTAGCATTAGCTTTACGTTTATCATCTACGCGTTACGGGGTCCAGCACACAAAACACCAAGAGCCATTTATTCTGATAGAAAGTCTAAATTCTAAAACTTACCACACGTTCCAGTTGTCGGTCCTGTGAAGATTTCTATCCGGTAAAGCTAAATAGCGCTCGCACAGACCGTGTCGTTACAATAGCGCGCGCGGGATAACGAACAAATCAATTAAACTGATACGGAAACAACTCCCTTTCAAAAATTATGCCTTGCGTTCAGAAGACAGCGTTACTATGTCAAAGTCTATTAACGATTACCCGACTCGATGTGAAATAACTCCAAAATCCAGAAACGTTTCCGTTTGATTTAGAGCTTCGCAGTGCGTGTGTAGAACTCGCTTATACCGGTAAACGGAACAGGGGGGTTCTTTTTTTATTGGATACACCCTTCACAAGCCCCGCCCCCCCCCCACCGGCGAGCTGTAGGCGAGACTTCTTTTTATTCTTTTACTCATCACGCGCTCAGTGGATGTACGTCAGAAGATCCCACTTCACGAGTCTTCTTTTACAACTTTATATTATTATATATTCCTTCACCTTATAGTTTGCTGCCACCACTATTAAAATAATCTGGTTTGAATCCATGCCACTAGGATAATAAATGATGTGTATTTATGTAGTATTAGGACTCAAAACCTAGTGAGTTTATCAAATAAAATTCATTGCTATGGATTAATCCACCCAACATCATTAGCTTTACCTCAACCTTTTTAAACATAAATGCATAACTAATAATAATCCAAGAATATAATAATAAAATAAAATCACACTGACACTATTTTCTGCATTATGCACTTTAGGTCTACTTTATATAACTGGTAACACTATACTTTTCCTTAATTAACATTTTGAATGCAGTAATTCTAACTATAATACCTTGTAATGCGACCAACTTTCAGACAAAACCTTGAATGCACATAATAGACAAAAAACACAATTAACCCTGAACAACTGCTTTCCCAGCCAAAAGAAACAATGGCCCGTCAAAACAGTGCGGAAAAACACCCGGTGGTGGTGATGTTGACTGCTTTACAGAAGACGTGTCATTCATTCAAGTGCATCCGACCGAAAATGATAAAAACATTCACTCTCTAACAATAGTCGTTTTCTTTGGTGACTGTTCTTTTATTGTGTTCAAGAGAGACGTGATATGCTAAATGGAGGAACTGCTAGATAAGCATATATCAATTTGACTCACCAATAGTTTAGGCCAAAGCGTGTATTTGCATGACAGCAACGAGGTTAGAATTCACAAAACACAACACAGTATGTTATTTATTTACATCGGCTGATGCTGTTATAACAGCACATATAATTATTATTGTATTACGACCTCACTTCCTCCGGTGTCTCTCCCTACTTGACGTCACATGCTTTTGAGGATCGTGGAAAATTTCCCCGTTCCCAATCCATTGAGCAATGGGCTGCGATCACTTACAATCCTTGTCTTGGCACCTGAAGGCAGCGTTTCACAAAGGAATAGATGGCAATTTGGCATTTTTCATAACCACTCGATCGGGTAGTCTTACTCTCGCTATAAAATATAATCTCAAAACTTGAAGTTGATATAACTTCAACTTCAAGTATATATTTTGCGTCTTCTTCAACTTCCCAGAAAAACATTGTTACTCAGTAATGCGCCTAATTGTTTACTCCCTTGCCAGGAAACAGAAACGTGACATCGAGATAATGACAGATAAGATAGTGAGATTGTCAATTTCATAAAATAACTCGGAATTCATGTTTACTGATGTTTGTAGCTTCTACTCCAATAATCATAACCTAATTCAAACATACTTGAAATTGCAGAGAGTCTGCTTATTTTTTAACAGTGGTCAAATGCCAAACTCAAAGAAAGGACACTTGATGGAATATAGTAATTTTCCTTAATGCAATATATAGGCAAAATTACGCATTAGAGCAGTCAAAAAATCGTGGACTTGTTTTGTGTAACGGATAAGAAAAATGAGACAAAGGCACATGCTGTGTTTGCACAAGGTTCTTTAAAAACATCTTGTCTCATGGTCTTATGCACTGGTGTACTCAAGAAGTGCTCTGTTGGGTGCCTCTATGGTAAATTAAACTTAATGAAGGGCCCTCTTGCCCTGTATAGAAAACATGATGAAGGGCCTAGGGTGCCCTACCAGTATAGAAAACATAATGAAGGGCCCTCTAGGGTGCTCTATACCAGTATAGAAAACATGATGAAGTGCCTTCTAATGTGCCCTACCAATATAGAAAACATGACGAAGGGCCCTCTGGTGCTCTACCAGTATAGAAAACACGATGAAGGGCCCTTTAGGGTGCCCTATAGAAAACACGATGAAGTGCCTTCTAGGGTGCCCTACCAGTATAGAAAATATGATGAAATGCCCTCTGGGTGGCCCCTAAAAATGAAATGAAAACATGATGCAGTGTCATAGGCTGCCCAATATGCTAGAAAACCTTCTGAGGGCTGGTGCCCCACCGCATGCAGCTGGTGCCTTGTTTTTTTCCATCACTGCCCCTCAGACAGCCTGAGTCTGGCAACGGTCTAATGATACTGAAATCCTTCACAGCTTGTTTCATGAGCAAGACACACGTGGTTCATAATAAAATAAGATAAATCAAGCCAACACAGGGCCTGAAGTATCTGTCCTATACACCCACTTTGTCAATGTAATCTTCGGATCAAAAATAATGCTATAGATTGTGTTAATATGAAGTTTATTTCGTTACCTCTGGCCTGTTTGTTTACAATTCCTGATGTGTTAGACTGCATAAGATAATTGATTGAATGACATGGTTGGATAAATACACACTTGACTGTTGCTTCCATTGATTCCTGGAGAGCCTATGACACCATAGAGTCGTTGAGTGCAGTGTATACTACACCTCTGCTGATCGGAATTATTGAGGCCCCTTCTCTGATACACTAGCTATATTTTTAAGTTTCATTTGTGCAGCTTTTACTTAGCTTGTATGCTCCTATCAGACATGCAGGATCTATGTGCAGGATTCTAGGCAGGTCTATGTCAACACTTCCAGTTCTCTGCATGGTTAAACAGTGCCATCTGGCGTCATACTGCAATAACAGTTTCATAACTAAGATTTCTCTCTCTGCTTGTATCTTTTTGTATGAGCATTGTACGATTCAAATGTCAAAATTGCTCTCTTATTACAGTTTAAAACCCCCATCCCCCCCCCAAAAAACCTACAACTAAGGGATAACAACACATTTTCAACAAATGGTCGCATTGAAGAAGTGTTAGACTTAAGTAACAATTAATCAATGCTCCTTTTACAGCAATAACAAATGCATGTCATAAAAAATGTTTGTCACAAAGTGTTATCAGAACAGTAATCTGGGTATGTTTATAAAGTGCTTTTTAGCAAGGTCACTGCAAGAACTAACTAGAAAGTGGTGTTTTTAGTCAATATCACAAATTGTTATAATTCCAGACAATAAAATAAGTTCGTTTTAACACAAAAGTATGACTGCTGCGTGCAATAAATAATCTTTCCAGCTCAAACACATGTGGTGAAATCACTTGTGACTTTGAGTATGAACAGCACCGCTGAAGGGTTAAGCTCTATGGCTACACTATACTTCTCTCCAGTGTGGGCTCAGCTTTCTGTCTGATCTTTCTGACACTGATCCTGGACTATGATCCTGAAAATAACCCTCTCCTCCTGAACGTTATGGTTAACCCGAGGAGCTGGGACGCAACATTTGATCCCAGCTCATCGAAGAAACTGGAAAGTAGGGGAGCTTTAGGTAGAAGCAGTACATTGCGTACTTGCTGGCACCCGAGCAGCTACATTTAAGACTGTCTCCCACTGGGACCAATCAGAATGGGCCTAGAGCGACAGACGTCCAATGAACGCCCGCTTCCTAGTTTGTAAGGCGGGACTTCCGAGTGGGTGTGTGTGTGGGTGACTAGAAAGAGGAGGTCAAATGCGCTGCTAGTTTAAAAAAACGTGAGGCTATCTCCTGGAAATATTCACAGGTAGACTATTGTGTTGGAGTTACAGTAGACGATATAGTTAACAGCACTGTTATAAGAGTTTAGGTTAAGAAGTACGTGCTGCCGTATCGGGCGTGGTGTGTTCGTGTCGTTAGTAATAGGCAGATAACGATAACGATAACGTTAGCTAATGCTAACTGTAAGGTTACATGTCGCGTGCTCGCATGCACTAGACGGCTCCATAATTGACCTTACAACCAGAATATAAGTATGACTGTCTAGCCAAACGTCCGTATTATCAACTGTGCATACGGTAATGCATGGTGCATGTCCACAGATCATTAGCTTTCGCTGCGAAGTTCGTTAGCCAACGTAAAGCTACTCCACTTGACATTTATTTTGTCTTTGGGAACCTTGTGTCACACGGTCACAGCCGTCATGTTTCACTCTGCGTCCCGTCGTCCGATCTGCGAGATCGGTGCGAATACAATGAGGCTTCGGAGCAGCAGGTCGTTGAAGCGGACCGTCGAGGAGGGCAGAGAGACTATCGAGAGGGTCCCGTGGCTGGGCAGGGGCATGGGCCTGCTGCTGTCCTGGCTCCAGAGGGCAGGTGTCGGTGCCACCGAGGCCGCAGCAAGATCTGGCCAAAAGAGGAAGGGTTTGCTCTCCATATTTGCGGACCACTGCAGCTTTGTGACCGGACAGAGGCTGCGGCGTGCTTGCCAGATCGGCGAGCTGTACTCCAACCTGTACTCCGAGCGGACCAGGATGACCCTGGTCTGCAACATATGGCGGAGATTTCAGAGCAAGCACGCCCCGACTGGGAAACTTGTCGCGGCCCTGGCTGGAATCTTCCTGTGGGACAGTGAGAAGATTCAAGATGAGGAAATTCAAAGGTTTGATATCTTTCTTTTAACGCACACTGGATGCAAAAAATAAACAACACAGCCATTGTATCAGAACCCCACATATGGGAATATCCTTTATATTGTCCATCCCTCTAGCAGAGTTAAAGAAACTTGTAGCATTGATGCAGTTTTAGCCACTTAACACCTTTAATAATATGTAATGTCAGCTGTGCAGTGTGCTAAATACGCTGTCCTGTTGTTTGCATCCATTTGAAGGTGTGGACTTGAGCTACAGGCGATGGAGTCTATAAAATGTCTCAACACAACTTCGGGGACGAAGGCAGGACTGCTTGAACCCGGCTGGGAAGTCGTGGTGGAGAAGAAAGGCTTCAAAGTGTGGAAGCGACCGATACCCGACTGTCACCTGTATGAATACAGAGGTCAGCCCACTCGCAATCTCACGAGTTACTTCTGTGCTCCTGAGTTTTATCTGGTGCTTTGGTGCTGGTTGTATTGATGTGACCTGTTCTCTGTGTGTTACTTGCAGTGTTGGGCTCCTACAACGATGTCACCCCACGGCAGTTCTTCAACGTACAGGTACAGACTTTTCTAATATCCTATGGGAAATCTTTGTATTACTGAAATGGCAATCATGCAAGCGGATCCAACTGGCAATGGTAGTCATTTTGTGTGGGACCTGTTGCATGTTAATTTGTGCATGGATTGTATTTCTGGTATACATTGTTTGTCATTCACATTAACAAGCTGCACTTGCACAACCAACGTGCTTGTGTGCAGGACAAAAGCCACTGTGACACTCTGTGCTATATTAAGCACCTTACCCGTGACTTATGCCTTCCCCTTTCCCCCAGTTGGATACAGAGTACAGAAAGAAGTGGGATGCGCTGGTGATCAAGCTGGAAGTGGTGGACAGAGATGTCTGCACAGGCTCTGAAGTTGTGCACTGGGCGACACACTTCCCCGTGAGTTTCTGCTGACTGTGTGTTAAGGGCATGGGTGGACACCGAAACCCGGTATCAAACTGGCACCGGGGCAAAATGATTAAACACTGGAGTATTTATAAGCGCAGACGTTTTTGCACACCTCTCCCTTGCTTTGTGTCAGGGCTTAGCTCCTCCCAACTACACAAACAAACGCACACATACACAGAGAAGTCAGCCAACAGCAGAGCAGAGAAGCTGCGGTGGAGACAAAAGTTAACCAGGTGATAAAGTGGATAATCAGCCGGCATAAACATGTACACCTGTAGAAATCTGGTCTGTCCGGTCTTTCATCCACCACCGCTATGCTTAAAACAACTGCAGCGTTCTAGTTCGGCTAATAGCAAATAGTAACAAACAAGCGATACCCCCGTAGTTAATGGGGGAGGCTATTTGTTCTACATAATGTGTGTTTACAGATAACCTTTTCCTTCTTTGTTTCTTTATTTTTGTTGTACAAGCAAACTGATTGACATTGGTTTATCATGTGGTTAAAATCAACTCCTCAGCTGTTCTTTAATCCGGTTTAATCTCTCCTAACAGTATCCCCTGTACTCGAGGGACTACGTGTATGTGCGCCGCTATGATGTTGACGTAGACAACAACCTGATGGTCCTGGTATCCAGGTAGAACTTCAAAAATAATGTGTCTCTGGGGTCAAATATAGTATAGTTTGATACATTGCTTAACAAATAACTTCTGTCTATAGAGGCGTGCAGCATCCAAGAGTCCCGGAGACTCAAGACTTTGTGAGAGTCCATTCATACCAGTCAAAGATGGTCATCCGCCCTCACAAGTCCTTTGATGAGGTTTGTGGTGAATGTGTTGCTACACAAATTACTTAAACTTGCATCCAGGATCCTGTTTTGTAGCCACTGAGTTTGTGTTTTGTTCTTAACAGAATGGATTCGATTACCTGCTGACTTACAGTGACGATCCTCAGACTGTCTTTCCTCGTTACTGTGTGAACTGGATGGTGTCAAGTGGTGAGCTGTTTGAAAATGTCTTAGAGCTACATGTAATGATTTTCAGAATCATATTTCACTATTTTGTCCCTATTTAATTTACAATGACATTAAGCAGCAAATCCTCACACTGCAAATGTTTTGCTATTTTGTTTGCTGTTGCATTCAGATTTCTGTGTATTTTTTACTTTCCTCCACATACATTTCATGTTTGGGTATTCTACTCTGTCTTTGCACCTGCCAGGTATGCCTGACTTTCTGGAGAAGCTCCATACTGCCGCCGTGAGGGCCAAGAACTTGGAAGTGGGGATCTACGACTACGTAGGCACCATTAAATCCAGCGACGCCAACCGCCAGCCGAGCCAGGAGCACCTCAGTGGAGAAAAGCCGCACGCGGGCGGCCCGGGACAGATCTACGCCTGAGAGACAGACATTTTATAGACCGGGGGTTAGATTGGTGTGTTTTCACATGCGTACGAACCTCAATCGAACCCTCCAGCCCCAACTTTAAGGGTAGATCGCATGAGCTGCAAATGGAAGTTGCAACCTACATTTAGGACACATATACAGTATGTCCATCCGTAGACATGGTTACATTGGTTGTAGATGAGATGTCACAAGAACAATGGACTGCCTGGGAATGAGCCTGTTGCCATAGAATTTTTCATCCAGATTGCTGGCAATGGCACTATTTTTGCTGAGCCAGGCAATGCGGCGTAGCATTTTTTATTTTTTTTGGTAACGATGTGTCTGTTGGTATGATCGAGCCAAAATTCCTAATTGTAGAGATGCTTTTTGCCAAAACACTGTTTCTCTCGTCCTATCTTTCGGCGTCTTGCCACATTAAACGGGGTCTGCGGTGAGATCACGGCGAGATGTTGTGCAGTATTGGACATAGAATGGTAACTGACTGGCTTCTGATGGACATTATCACTGTATTTAAACTACGGCCACAGACCGATGAAGAATCGCGGCCTTCTGTGGGGAATACTGTCTACCACGCTTCTTCATTTCATGGATTCAACAGCATAAATGATCTTTATGTGACAGGATGGGGTGGATTAAAAATAATAATGATGTCATTATTGCGAAAATTTGTCCACAGAATTTTAAATGAAAACTTCTTTGTGTTTTGGGGATGGTGTTTTGCTGTCAGCACAGGTGGAGGTTTCATGTTGTTCAAGGCTGCCAGCATTGACAAAAACAGCCTTCTGAAGATAAACCAGTCCTTTAACATTCGGGGCATAGTGTCTTATAACAACCACATAAATCCTCAAAAGCACTTCAGTTTAGTTCTACAAACAAGGCAACCCTACAGAGATGCATTTTAATAAATCAATATCCCTCTTTAGAGAAACTTGGAGCTATTCTGCCACATCACAACTCATTTGCATTTCACATGAGTTAAATATATACGAATTCGTCACATTCAGCTCAGAATTTTTTTGTTTTGTTATCCTGGTGTCCGCTACAGACATCACAGGAGTTTGTACTGTGTGAGTTATGTGTGTTGGTGTTTTCTTTAATATTGTGGGTCTTGTACATTCATAAAACAGTTGCCTGAATACTGGAAATCCCCGTTCGCATCAAGCTCGGCCCCATTTATCCTGCATCATTTTTGTTATTAATATGGGTCCTACTGAATCTCTGCAACTCATCCATCCAAATCATCCTCGTTGCTTTTGTAATTCATGTTGCAGGGGGTGTTATGAATGTACAAAGAGCTTCCCAATTCTGTGGAGTAAAATATGGCCTAATAAAGTACACTGTTTACAGCTGAACAATCTGGCACAGATATTTAAAAATTAATTTGTATTTATGTGATGGTGGTACATCGGAGTGAATCAGGTCCAACATGTATGAGTATTGAATATTATTATAGCCCCACTGTGTAAAAAAGTGTATAATTCTACTCTGTACTGGAGTATTTCAAGCTATTTGATTTAAAATAACTGACAGAGTAAGTTTTGCAATACAATTATTTTGAAAGTGTGGGAGGAAATTAAATGTTTTTTTTTATATTTACCTCTTGTATGGTCACACAAAACAGACTTAAGAGCTCACAATAACCCAATTACACATAATGCAATGTTTGCTAATGTTCAGCTTGCGACTGTATTGTAACAGTTAATGCTCTGTCATTTGTGGTCACCTGCAGTAGTCTAAAAGAGTTGTCACATACTGTTTTTGTTTTTTCTTTCTGCAGGCAGTAAAACATTTGTGATTAGCTACCACATGATAATTACTGAAGGAGCGTCTAATCAGATCAAATAAATGAATATATATAACAAATCAAATATCTGTCTCTGTTCAGCTGTTCCTTGCAGAGCTTTCTTGGTTTTGACCTTATCTTGGTAAGAGTAAAGGTTGAATGGCTTTGTTTTAGTGCCAAGCAGCCAGCGTAGTCCAGTTTAATGGGATAATCTGTAAACCCTACACTCCCCGTCTGGGCGTAAGGTCAGCGACAGACTGCAGAGAGGCTCCACCATTTACCCAAAGCACTGTCTGCTCAACTGATCAGCCTGGAACCAGATTAACTCTACTGGCAAACAACTGCAGCTGTGTCACAAATCCACACTAGAAAGTACTTCATATTAATCATCATTGTATATTGTTTCAGCAGTTAGTACAGCTAGTTGTGAGCATTGCATTATGGGAGAATAGCATCCATCACACTACACACTCAAACCCTGCTTATGATCAGTATGTAGTGTGGCTTTGAGATATTGGGTGTGTGCGTAGTTAGGGAGATTGTCAATCTAATATTTTAGCTGTGTGAAAAGACAATGTTTTTATTATAATTTTTAAATCTAGACATATCCATCCAGTTTGATGCTTTGCTGTGCTTACCTGACAAAATATGCCTGAACTTGTGATTGCTGGTCTTTTTAAAAAAATTTAAATGTAGAATTTTAGTCTCACAAAAGAATCTTCAGTAGGCTTTTCATGGAAGACATGTTGACACATGGCAGTAAGAAAAGCACAGCTGTAAACAATTAAATGAATGATGGCTGAATTCAATTTAGCAGCTTAACTTCAGGGACGGCCTGTCACTGAAAGCGGCCACGCCCTTAATTATGCTTAAAGTTAAGTATTTTTAATTTTAATTTTAAACAGGTGAGTTATATTAAAATCCACCCCGTACAGTTGTCAATAACTGAGATATTTCTTATAGAGACCAAACCCGTTTTTTGTACCAGGCTGCATACATGTTTATTTTCGCTGTAAAGTTATACATTTTAACATGGGGGTCTATGGAACCAGTATCAAGTAGTCATTTGAGGAAATGCAGTTTGTGGCAGTTCCGCGTTGGCTTTATTTTATCAGCACCGGATGTAGCCGCTAAGACGAAAAAGCAGAAAAATAGAAAAAAACACTCGAAATATCGCGTATATGTTTTTGTATGCTCTGAGGTGAAATATAAATAAAAGCAACATGTGACAACGTGCAATGGAAACATCTCGCGAATGCATGATGACGTACGTGAAGCACGTGACTTACGTTCGTGGACGCTTCTGCTCCTCTGACGAGACGAAACATAGCAGCACGTGTAAAAAGTCTCCTCATGGCCCCACACAGATCTGACGTAACTGGCCTCACATTAATACATGAAACAAATAAAAATATCACATATACATCTAGTTTTCGGCACTGATTGTCACGTTGAAGTTCCGACTGGCGCTGTTTTATTTACGTCATTATAAGGCGCCCACTTCTTATGCGGTGGTATAATGGTTTTCCGACTGGAGCCACTTATTGCTTTCCTAGATGAAACAACTTTTAATAATTGCACCACGATAGTGGATGGAAACGTACATCCATGGTGGGAACAAGCAATTCATCTGCATTGAAAAAAAGTTCGCCACTTTGGATGGAAGCCCACCATGTTCATTATATACTGGGAATAGAACTTCAATCCATTGGTCATGTTGTTTCCTTCTATGACAGCAAAATGTCTGATGTGAAAAGGGCCATTGCTATTTTTTTTTTAAATAAATTGTATTTGTAATCAATTGACCACAACATGATAAAACCAAGGTTCTTGGTGTACTTCATTGCTAATGGTCATTCTGACATTGATTCTAACTCAGACGTTTTACATAATATTGTTAATGTACGTAATGTACTTGAAGTGTCAGTGAAGACTGAGTTCATTAAAATAAGAGTCACAAAGAAAGGACAAGTCTGGTTTTAATCAATTTAAATGTATTGGTTAAATACACTGGTTGTGATTTGCCTTATGGTACAACATAGAAAAATAAGACGCTCAGCACACTGGAGAAACACAACTAATATATATATATTAGTGCAGTATGTGTGTGTGTGTGTGTGTGTGTGTAAAGCACATGGAGTTGTCTCAGGGTTTGATTTACAGATCAGTGATGTCTTAAGAGAGAGCACATTGTTTTAATGTATGACCAGCACTGTCTTAAATTCTTAGCCATAGTTAAAATCCACGGAGCACTTACAGTAATTGACCGTTTCCATAAATCTGCTTTTATGACACCAACCAGCTTTTTAGAAAATGTTTTATCTAAATGAATGCTGTAAACCCTGAGCCCCTCTCCCCCCCCCCTCCCCCACTCTCTCTTTAAAATCCATTTTTGCCCTTCATTCGACATTTTAATGAATGCCAATCAAACACACTGTATGTTTAGATAATATTTATTAGTCATGGACCTACATCTTAGAGTACATCGTGAGATATATCACCCGGAATAAGAATAAAAACAAAATTAGAGCCACTTATTATATAATGATGGTCCCTTTGTTCACCCCATAGCGTTGATTTCCAGTTTTATTGCCCTATTTGAGATTTCATTTCATGCTTATGTCTAAATTCAAAAATCGCACAAACTGTACATTACTGACTTTTTAAAAATTGCTCAGGAATTCACAACAGAAGGCTGATAGTGCTCACAAGCCTCCAAGGTGCTTGGCAAAACCATGGACAGATGATGCACTGCATGGTTAGATCAAGCACAATGGGGTCCTGGGCAAATACAGAGAAACAACACAGACAACCGTGGATCCAGCTCAAAACACTGCAGTCAAGGAACATGAAAGCTTTTTCATTTGGTTTAAATCTAAATGGAAGTAAAGGGAGAAAATCAATGAAACAGAACACATCTTTTTGCTTTCGTCGACCAACTCATCAAGTATTAAAACTCCTAAAAGAAACACATTATCATCAAAGTATTTTCTTGCAGTTGAAGGACAATCCCGCGGGTTGGTTTGTACCTGCAGTCCAAGAGTCGAGAAAAGTCCAAAGGTGTGAGGGAGGAGATCCACGCTCATGGATGGATTTAAAAATTGAAAAAAAGACAAATCTCACCATTGGTTCACACAACGATTGGAAAACAATTGTACACTTTTGCAGTTAAGTCCATCTGCGGAATAATAATAATTTTAAAAAGCGATTAGTCATAGGTCACACTCACTGCGGTAAAAAGGGCTACACCCTTCCTGCGCACAAACTGCGTCAAACCCCACCCTCCCGCCCTTCGCGTCCAACTCTACCAGACACGACTGAAAAAAAAGTCTAAAACCTCTATCACTGTTTCATGAAACAAACATTAAAACATTAAACATTTTCCAACAAAAGATGTACAGCAGGCCTGAAGAATAGTGGCTTAATCTAATATGTTTTCCATCAGTCTGTTGGCTGTTCTTCAACTGATCAATGGAAACAGAGTTTGGGTAATTCATCAGCGATCTTGTTAGGAACTGCAGCATCTCATAGAGTCCAGTCTCTGAAATTTTACATGTAATTGACTGAAAAATAAGTCTAGAGATACCAATGGACGCAAGAGCGATAGCTATTGCTATATTGCCGTTGTCCATCTTCGGACATTTGCCGTCTTCTTAGAGTAAAGACACAACCCCTTCTGGCAATTTAGTCCTAACTAAGTTAACGGTCACTGAGTGCAATGTCAAGAGTCATGATACCATCAAGCTAAGGCAGCTGTTTCACCAAAAGGTTTGACAATCTTGTTACCTTCTCTTGTGTCTCTTTCAGCTCCCATGGGACATCTTACTAAAATGAGAAGGCATGGTGCGATAATCAACTTAGAGCTCTGGCAACTGAACCACTTTGTGTGATGAAATTACACCACAATGCATATTGATGCACCAAAGAGAAACTCTGCATTTGTAGTTGACCGAATGGCATGAAAATGGGAGTACTTTGGGTGAAAACGGTGGGCGGCGGCGGTGAAACGGACCTCTGTTTTTCAGAACAATGAGGATGTTTCAAAGGTTGCAGTGTGGCTGATGGGATGGCGTGATGGTTTTTTATGCATGGATGATTGTGATACACAATTATGCATCCTTACCTTGTTTTTGGTGGTTTTTCTTTTTTCAAAAACTTACATGGAACACCACAAGTACTGTCTTTCAGGAGTTGGATTTCAAACTCATGCGTGCAAATTTGACTAAAGACTGTTTTTTATGTTCTTAACAATTTATCATTAAAATATCTTGTTCTAAGCAAAGAAATTAAGTAAAATATTCTTCAGACTAAGGGTGAAAACCCAACAAACTATCAATGCAACACTACAAAAATGAAACTTAGTCATAACCTACTCTGTATTTAACTAACAACCTCCAGATGCTGTCTTTGGAAACTCACTTCTGTACATCTGGTCTTTCCAAGAAACCCACCTTTCCATCCTCTGGTCCCAAAGTCGGAGGTAGTTGCAGCCGGCTGAGTGGTGACGAAGTCGACTGGGAGCTCTGAGCTGTGTCTTGGGGTCCTCCAGCTTGCTCAACTGGAGACAGACTGCCCTGACTGCGTCCTCAGCACCCTTCAAGTCCTCATCTCCTGCCCCTCCTTCAGGCTAGGAGGGGTTGGTGATGTTCTCTTGGGATAGGTGCACGGGCAAGGAGGACTTGGTCAGGCTGGGATTGGACGTCGGTTGGGGAGTTTTGGGGGGGGGGCCCCCGGTTCCGCATTTCATAAATATTAATACAAAGTCCTCCCTCTCCAAATGGGTAGATTCTTTAATTTTGTTAGAGGGGAAGTGCTTTATTCACTTAATGGCTTTTATTAGTGCCCGGTCTTCAACTCTTTCATTAGCTAAAGTGCTGCTATAATTTACAGGGTAAAAAAAAGGGGTGGGGGGGTGGGGGGTCTGAGGAGGGTTGATCCTGCTGCTGCAGGACAGGCATTCAATAACCTCAACTACTGCAGCTTTTCCTACAAAAGTAGCTATTTTCTCAGTAAGAACTGTAGTCTATAACGTAAAAAACGCTCGACAGCATCCTCATTGACCGTTACAGCGTTGTGAGCTGTATG